CGTTCGGGGATCGATTTATCGCGTCTCGTCTAGACGCGGATAAATCGATCCCCGAACACGCTCCCCGTCGACTCCGGAACTCCAGCTCGCGAGAGGCGGAAGCGGAGTCGACGGGGGAGTGGCAGCGGTCAACTCGCCGCTGTCCTCACGGCCAGGTAAGTCGACCTAAGATATACCGATTTCAGCTACGCTATTCGCATAGCTGAAGTCGGCATATCTTAGGTCGACCACCCCCTCCCCCCCAGTGTAGATCAGGGCTATGTTAATAATGCCATATGAGAGGTACAAGGCGGTCTTATAAGACCCTGCATTTCTCTAGTGCTCTTCCCTGGGGATCTCAAAGCACTATCCAAAAAAACACTAGTGAATTGAGCCTCACAGGTCTCCCTCCATGAGACGGGTAAGTATCATTCCCCCATTTTACAGATGGGGAAACTGAGGCATAGATGGGTGGGGGCAGGGGGAAGGGACTTGCCCAAGGTCACACAGAGAGTCCAGAGCTGGGAAGAGCGTCCAGCTCTCTTGACATCTTGGCTTTTAGCCCTTGGCCTCTGCTGCCTCCCTCTTGTGAATCCCGTTTTGCTCAGGTGCTCCAGAGATGCAAAGTCTCCAGCTCCCTGTTCCAGTGCTCAGCGCTTGGGGCCACCCATGTGCTCCCGAAGATCACCAGGCGAGGAGGCTTGTGTGGGTCAAAGAGCTCCTACGTTGTAACCAAGCCCAGTCAACAAAGGAGCTTTCATCACATCGCCTGCTCGCTGTTTGATCTTCAAGGGCTGAATTTCCTTTGGAGCTATCAAAGGAAAATTCCCCCGCCCTTTCTGTGCACTTACTGTATCAGTGCACTGAATTAACCTGGCTGAGATATCGGTTTGCATAAGCGCAGGCCTCCCCGTGTTGTCAGGGCTCTGCCTCCCCCTCCATCACACAGCCTCTCTGGTTTCAGTTGCCCCTGATTAGATGCGATGCTTATCCTCTCATTAACGCATGGGGATCGATTTCCAGCACGGCTTGCAAGGGGGATTTTGCCCAACGGCTTCCGACGATGGCGGTGGCTTTATCCCCAAAGATTGTGCTGAACAGCTCACCGTGTAAGTTTCTTCCGCAGCCCCTGCCCAGTGAGGGGGATGCTGGGTCTCACGGTAATTTACAACAATGCGGATTAGTCTAATTGAAGAGCCATCTGCTGCCCCACCTCTCACCAGGGACACTGAGATCGGCAGGACTGGAGCTGCTGGCTCTCAGGGCAGCATAATCCCAAGGATGGGCTGCTCATGCCAAGGCCCCACTGTTTTAGAACGCTCCCCTTGTCAGTGGGAGCCAGGACCCTCAGTACCATCCTTCTGAGCAAGGTTAAGAACGTGTGTCCCTTTTGGGATGGCAGCATGGCTCAGGAGACCTGGGTTCTGTTCCTTGCTCTGACACTGACCTGCTGGGTGAACTTGGGCAAGTCACTTCCCGGCTCTGTGCCTCAGTTTCCCCCCCTGGAAAGCAGGGGTAATGATATTTGCCCTCCTTTGTAACGTGCCCTCTTTCTAAAGCTCTATAGAAAAAAAGCACAATGTAACTGCTAAGTGTAGTTATTATTCCTTACATAAATCTACATTAAAAGCACATTGAGATTGCAAAGTGAAGCACTTATAAGTCAAGAAATGCCAATGTGAAGGTTGCCCACATAACCTTAATTCTGCCCCTTGTGCATATGCATCATGCTACAGCTTCTAGTAATATCTACTTATTGCCACAGGACACTTGACTCATGTAGGGCCTGATCCAAGCCCGTTGGAGTAAAAGAGAGCGGGAGGGACAATGCACAGTGAATGAGTAATTTTTACTCTCAACAGTCAGCCCACTGTATCATTTGGGTCCAACGTGCATAGCTTACGTTACTCATTTCGGATCAATACTGAGCTCAGCTGGATTTGAACTAGTGACTTTGCAGTACAAAAACACCCCACACTGGGACCGAGTACAAATGCCCTGAGCCATCCACTCCCCTTGTTTATGAGCTCATGGGGCCTCGGGGCCTGTGTATGAGGCATTCAGAGGCCTTTGAGTTTCAGGGCTGTAGAAATGAACGTCAATTATAATAATAGTCTGTCCACCTCTCGAACACTTTCACTCTGAGTATCTCAAAGGGATTTACATGAATTAAGTCTTGTGGTGCCCTGTGAAGTAGATCAGTGTCGTCATCTCCATTTTACAGGTGGGGAAACTGAGGCACGGGGACCTGCTTGAAAATGGGTGCAGAACAGAAACTGGCCTTTGCCCTGCTTTAATGAGCAAGCTTCCTTCTCAGGAATAACAGCTGTCTCTCGAGAAGGGTGACTGGGGCAGTGAGGAATGTGGTCTTTGCACCTTGTTTGTTGAGAGACCCTACTCCGGGGCCCGGGCAGCACTTTGCTATTCAAACACTTGGCTAGACTCCCCTTGGAGTCACAAGCCAGTTTATTGGATCTCGTTCTGCACGGGTTGGTTGGGGTTTTTTTTTTTCTGACTTTCCAGGAAAGAAGACTTTGAACGCCAGGGTGTGTGCAGCGTAATAATGCTGAGCGCGCACCGGCCAAAAAGGAAATAATTTTATCGCCTCAGGAGCAGCCGGGCATTGCCTCCAACAGCTACCCCTGCACACACACGCCTTAGGTTGTGGGAACAGGAGACACTCAGCATGGGAGGTGCTTGTCTGGGGGCGGCTCTGGGTTCACGTGGTGTGGGAGTGTGGAATGCTTCCCTGGAAGAGAGAGACCAGAGAGCATCTGGAGAAATAGCGAGAGCCGTTCCTGGCTCTGTTTTCATTGCTTCTGTTCCTTGCAGAGCCCCTGCTCGAAGATGCTGTCTGGGAAGGTGGAGAAGAGGATTGCTTCCTCCGTATACATTACCCTGGCCCCTCCCAGGAGGGACACGGTCATCAAGGCTGATGTAAAGCCAGAGGTGCGTCAGCCGAGCTCAGACCACCCAAAGGAGGCTACGAAATCTGATGGGACCCACCATCCCCAAGGGTCGCCACCAAAGAAACTACCCAACAGCAGCCGTCAGGCCGGCAAGCAGAGCAGCAGGACACTGGGCAGTGCCGGGCCCTCGTCTGGAGCGGCGGGCTTGTCCAACGGAGGTAAGATGAATGCAGGGGACAGACTGCACGGGGCCCGTGAAACGCGTCAGACGGAGAGTGGGTCGTAATTGACCAGAAACAGGCTCCCGCTGCACAGCTGGGATCCAGATCTGGATTCCAAACACCCCTGCACTCGGGAAGATTTAGGTCAGAGTCTTGGGAAATGGCCTCATTCCCAGCAGGACGGTGCCTGGGCAGTGGTTTACTGCCCGGGGGCCTTGAAGGCTCTGTGCCGGGGTGGAGGTGTGAGCCGCCGCTGGGAGGCAGGGCAGGGGGTGTTCTTGTGTGGGGCAGGTTCCTGCCGGAGCCTGTATCTATTCCCCTGGCCTGTGCTCCCAATATGACCCCTCATCCCCCTCCTGCTGGTCCTTGCTTCGAGCCCGACAGGACCAGGCATGGCTGCAGGAGCGGGGAGGCTGGCCAGCTGGCAGTCCCAGCAGTGGAAGTGAATTCGCTCCTAGGAGTTCTAGGGGGCAAATCACCATTTGGGCTGGCAGGCTAGGGGCAAGACACCTGCTTGGAAGAGGGAGCAGAAGATGGAGGCGAGACCGTTCCCCTTCGGTGCGTGTCAGTGCAGATCGCTGGGGCCGAGCCCCAGGTCTTTCCATTGACTTCGGGGGGCTTTGCACGTGACATGCTAGTAAAGTACGGTCCCACCCGGCCCCTGGGTACGTCCTCGGGCGGCTCGCCCAAGCCTCTGCTTGTGCTGCGGCAGACGCGGTGCTATTTTTAGTGCGCTGGGAAGCCCGCTCCTAGCGGCCGTGCAGACAGACTCTGCACAGCCACAAAACTCCCCTGGGACCAGGACCAGGGGCTTCCAGAGAGGAAGGGGGTTTAATTTCCTTGAGCATTGAAATGCATGAGTTTGGGGTCCGCGGCCCGTCTCCCCCCCACTCTGCCCCCAGCTGGAGACGTGCGCTCCCATCTTCCCGGCTGCCATCTGCTTTCTATCACTGATCGGTTATCAGCAGTGTTTGCAGCCACCAGGACAAACCAGCCCGGCTGCCTGCTGCAGGGTAAAGGCAGTTTGCTTTGTGGGCAGGTTGCGAGTTGGCTGCAAGTCAAACAAACAGCAGGAGAGGAGATTTATTAGGGCATTTGCTGAGAAGGAAGCTAACAATTTGACTTTGCCCCCCCCCCACCCCGCTCCCAAGCTTGAGAGATGTTTTCCTTTGAATAAAATAGAAGAGTCTTTGGGGGCAGGGCCTTCGTTTCCCCCAAACAAGCCGTGGCCCCATGCAGCACGGGAGTGGGGATGCACTATCAAAGCCCAGCGCAGCTTAGCACCCTCCCTTCTCCCTCGTATCTCCAGGTGAAAACGCAGTGAGCACCAGCACAGAAACCAGTTGGGTTCATTCACCCGTGTCTCCCCAGGGCAAACGTATCCCTGAAGTTCCTGTTCCGAGCGCCCTGGGAATGCGTCGCCCCTCCCAGCTGGGCCCAGCTGGGCACACTTGTTAAATGACCCACGGGCACACACGACACACCTGCCGCACACAGGCTGAGAAACATGCCCATCAGTCACTAACCCACAAAGTCAGCCCAGCAACTCCACCTCCCAGCTAGGTACGGGGGCTGCTCCCGCCTCCTCTCTCTCCTGCAAAGCTCCCAGCAGCCTGTCCAAAATTCCCCGTGGCTTTGGGAAGTAGGTTTTTCAAGCCTGTCCACAAAGAGGCCATGTGGAGCAGTGGGACCAGAACCTGGACCCACAGGACTCTCCCACGTGATCTAAAGGAGAGCTCGGTTAGCTGGAGCACAGGCAGCCACAGCTGGAGTTGAAGGATCACCTCCGTTAGTCCTCAGCAGTGGCCCGGCATACGTCCTCTTTGAGGGTGGCGTGATCACTCACAGCCCATGCATTGCCAGGAGCATGTGCTGGAGACGCACGACACGGCTGCAGTATTGACAGTGCAGGTTCAGTGATGCTGGGGCTAATTCTGCTTCGGACACAGAGGAGAGATCAGCTAATCCCCAAAGCCCCTCGATGCCCCAGCGAAACGTTCGGGGCACCAGAGCCAGAGCTGGAGTGGGACTAGTTCCGATTCCTTCACTGGAGCTGCACTGACTTACCTCAGCTGAGAGGCAAAGGGACTGGGATCCCACCCAGCCTTTGCAAAACCAAACCCTGACCGAAGAGCCAGATCAAACCCCACCCTGGCGGTGCCGATCCAAATAAGTAACCAGCAAACCCGGTACCCAGACACAGCTGGCCTGGGGCTGCAGTAACGCCTGCACCCTTGCCTGGAGTGATTTCTTTTATGCTTTAATCAGCATTTGTTTCCTCTTGATCCCAACAGACGGGCCATGTTTTCTAGATGTAGGCTCCTCGCTTTGATGTGCAGCAGGAGAGAAGCTGTGATGAACAGATGTTCTACGCAGGGGAACTGCATTCGTTACTTTTCTCCTGCCAATTATCCAACACCACTAATGCTCCTTGGCCGGGGGAGGGGGTGCTTTTCCAAGAGCAGGACTTTCCGTTAGTAATGATCAACTTTGTTAATTTCATATCAGCAAAGACAAGAATGGGCCCTTCAGCTCTGGGTTAGAAGTGGTTTCATCACCCAGGGCACCCTGGGTGTCACTGCTACCTGGAGACTGTTGCAACGTGAGACACTTTCGGACCATCCAAGAATCCTGGGAAACTTGACCAGCCCCAAGGCCTGGATCCAGGGGGGGGCACCCTGCTCCAAACACGGCTTTCCCCTCTGCTGCACAGAAGTGGAGGCATCCGTGTGTCTCGGGCCGAAGGGGGAGGAAGGGGGAGATTGGGCAGGGCCGCCAGGAGAGGAGCAGGGGCAGGCCTGGGACACACACATGCTGTAAACACACACGCCTGCCAGCCCCAGGGATAGGTAAGGGATTTTAATCTCCAATCCGGCCCTGTTCACCAGCACGAAATTAACCTGGTGTGATTCAGGTCCCCCTCGCTCAGCATGTCAGTTCCTCATACACCCTACTTCATGCCAGACTCCAGCCTTGTTCCTTGCTTGTTTCAGGTTTCTCCTCCTTTCCTCGTCCTGTCCTGACCGACATTCCCACAGGCTCAGACCCAGAGAGCCCCCTGCCATCTCCTCCGCCGTATCTTCTGTCCGATGAACTTAACGCCCCGTTGTTGGAGACGCTTTGCCCTGATCTGCAGAAGCTGCACATGAGCTCACCTGTGAGCCGGCAGGTATTGATGGAAGGTGGGAGGAGGAGGTTTCATGTCATGGCTCGCCTGGATGTTTTTAGCCCTGGTGCCCAAAGAACAGCATTGAGAACCCTGAGGGAGGGCTGGTTGGTGGTCACGGCACTCACTTGGGAGACCTGGGGACAAGCCTTGCTCTGCCACAGACTTCTTGTGTGACCTGGGGCAAGTCACTTAGCCTCTCTGGGCCCCAGGTCCCCCATCTGTAGAATGGGGATAATAGTCCTACCCTGCCACACCGAGGTGTTGTGAGGACACATGTGCTGAGGACTGTGAGATGCACAAATCTTGTGAGCTGCTAGGAACTTCTGGCAATGGCCGTGTGAGTCACTACACTAGAGAAGCTGATTGGTTGGGAG